TAGCTTAAGATATCAAGATATACAAGCTCTTCCAACAGTAGCTTGAGAGACTACATTCGTTTCAGGTGAAGCTTTCATGAAGTTAAACCTGAAATTGCAAGTGTTTTATGTGGGCCTTGCTTGCATGGAGGGGGAGATGTTGTAGACATGTTTCTGAAGGGATAAATAAATAAATCACTTAGAGATGTTTATAATGTCAAGAATGCTTTTAATTTAGAAGTAGACTTTTCTTACATATACATTTGTAGAAGCAAAAGTAGCAAAATTCTATAGGTTGCATTGCATCCCATTATAATTAAATAATTAAAAATCATTTCTTTAAAAATATTCTTTTTGTATTATTGTATTGTCATATTTTGTTATTGAAGATAGAAACAAAAGTTCTTCTGGTTGTAATAAGAAACAGTAAAAAAATCTAAAGAAACTTCTCAAACTTAATAGAAATCTAAATTAATGTGAAAAATTAAATCTCTTGTTTTTAAAGAAGCAAATTAAAAATTGGTATGTTGTAATTAATTCTTTTTGGGTTCTAAAATAAATTAAATTTTAGCTCTAATTAAAAATGTAGTTCCAAAACAGATGATGGATTCACACTAAAATTTTGGAATAGATTTTATTTATTCTTTAATGCGCAAATATGATTTTTTTATTTCATTTTGAATTTTTAACTCAATGTAATTGTAGAGGATTCTAAATTGTAATGCTATAACTAGTTATAACTTATAACTAAAAATATATTAAATATTAAATTTAAATTTTATCTTTAATTATTATGTTTTTGCATAGCCAAAAATGGAAGTTTTTTTAGCTACAAAAAAATAGTCAAAGATTCTAATTTTTTTAATACTGTTAAATATATGTTTTAAAAAATCTAAGATTATTTTAAAAAAAATAATAGCAATAGAAGTTATCAGCTTTATTTTTTTTTATTACTAGATATATTTTGACACAAAAAGACCTTGATAATAATTAGCTTTTATTTATCAAAATATATATATATATATATATATATATATATATATACATATATCCTAAATTTTAAAGTTTTAATTTTATGTGGTGAAAGTTAAAGAATTTTTGAACTAGTTATGAATGCAAGGGAATGACACTCCTATGAAGATATTATAACTATAAATACATATATATTGTAGCTAAAAAATTATATAGCCAAAAATAGAATTTTTTTTTAGCTCTATCAATATTTATAATATTTAAAATTTTATGATTAAATATACAATTTTTTTTCATTTTTTAATGCAACAAAAGATAAAATCCATTACATATCAAAATTTATGTAAGCTCGTTGCTACCTTTTGTTTAAAAAAATACCATCAAGACAACTAATAAAATAAAAAGCAAGTTTGTTTCAATCATAAAGGCTAGATAAAATCATGAGTATTATGAATGATATTTAAAAGCATGTTATAAAAACATCTTATATGAATAATACTTTATAATGTATAATCTATATTATAATAATAAATATATTATTTTATAATATTTTTATCAGATATGTTATAATAAGAGTAAAATTCTTACTTATTTTACTTTTAAAAAATTAGTATTATATAACATTAAACAAAAAATATGTATATTTAATCTATATTTAAATAAGAATTTTTATAATTTTTCTTGCATATATATGTATTATTAAATTTCTAAAGTATAATCAATTCCATGTATTTTTTTAAATAATTTTAACGCTATGATATAAAAATAAGATGAAAAAAGGATATAAATAATATTTTTTGTATCAATTTTTCTATTAAAAAATATTATATGTATATGTATATATACTTATGTATTTAAAATAAATATATTAATAATAAAATTAAATAATAAATTGATATAAGATATATTTAGGCTCCAAAAGTAATATGTCATATTTATTGAAAGACATAAGTGAGAACCATATTCTACATAAACCAATATTATAAATTCCAGGAAATTGTTCTATTATAATTAATTTATACAATTCTGTTAGAATTTAATTTAAAATATTTATAAAAACAAATGGCACTTAAATTTTATTTATATATATATATATATATATATATATATATTGTAATTTTTTTATCAATAAACATATCAATTAATAATATAACATATTTTTTAAAAATAATTTGATGAATAAAATTATGCAATAGAACAATAAAGATTTTTTAATCACAAATGATAACTATCATTATTTAGGATCCTTTACTATTAAGAGATTAATAGATTTCTAAATAAAAAATAAATCATTCAATACCTAAGAGATTTGTTTAGAAATAAAATTATCAAGAAATTATAACTAATATTTATAACACCTTGAATAACAATTAAACATTTAAACTCATAATTAATGAAGAAATTTTTATTTTAAAACTACATATTTAATTTATATTAATGTTTTGTGAAAAAATGATAGAAATGAAAAGTTTAAAGGATGTCTTTATTACTATTTACTTCACAACTTTATCAATAGATAATAGTTTAACATTTCAAAAAAAATGATATATTTGATCATGGTATAATTTTCCTTGATTTTAATTTTTAATTTTTTAAAATTAAAGAGTAGATTTACCTCCTATGTATTTATAAAAGAAAAAATAAAAGAAATACAAAAAAAACATATTAATTTTTAAGCATATAGAATGTAAATTTTTTAAAACTTGAATAAAAATTAATTTTAAATTAATAATAATAAAACATAAAATATAAATATAACGAATGAAAAAATTGTCAAAGAATTTTTAATAAAAAGATAAATTTATTATAAAATATTAGATATATATATTTATGTTTTTATATGATAGAACTGCAAAAACTCTATGTAAGAAGTTAGAAATAATTAAATTAGAAAATTGCCATGTAAACACCTTTCTTTTACAATGTGAAGACTTTCTCATGTCACACACCCCTACATATACATTATAAAAATCTTATTTATACTAAAAGATTTATAGAATAAATCTTTTATTATTGCTATAATTACCATTTTTTTGGTAGAAAGTGATTTTTTTAAAATATTTTTTTGAATATAAAAATATTTATATGAATTATATATCTATATATAATTTTTTTTTTGGAAATATATCAAAGTATTTTAATTCCTTAAGAAAAAGTTCATATGTTCAAATAGAATAAAGTTAATAATTCACAAAAGACTATTTTTTAAAGTAATTTAACTTTTATTTTATCAAATATATAAATTTAAATATATATATATTCTAATAATAGAATAAGATTGAAAATATTTAAAATATATTTAATCTATTAAAAAGATATCTTTATCAAGTAATGTAAATACAAACACAATTTTTGAAGCTTTAATCAAATTTAATCATGTTAGATTACAAGATGAAGGAACATACTTAGATGAATATATAAAAATAACCAATTCCATCATCTTAAAATCTAATTCATGGTATTATTTAAAATGTTGTCTAAAATTTTCTAAGTGGTTGCAATGTAATAACAATAAAAATGTAAGTGCCATAAAAGAGGGAATAAATAATTAAAACACATATTTAATAGAAGATTTTAATGTATTAAAGTCTCAAGTGATATTTTTATTAAAGCTAGAATTCAGAGTTAGATGTTTTATTTCATTTTAAATGTAGTTTTAAATGTCAAGGCTTTTACAATAGTTCTTGTTTAGTTGTTATAAGACTTATCAACAGTGTTGTTAAATTGCGATTATTAACATGAATCCATGAAAAATAAAAAAAATAAAAAATTTGATTTTTTGAAATTATTATTAGATTATTTTTAGATTCTAATGCCAAAAATTTCTAACAAAAGTTAAATTTGCAATAACCATTGATAAATTTCAAAGCCAATTATTGCAAACTACAAGTATGGATCTTAAAGTTAATTTATGGGCAATTTTATTATCATGTCTTGATGAATATTTTGAAGGTACATTAAATTTATTTATTTAAACAATAGTAAAATATTTAAATTTTATTTCTTAAAATATTATTTAAGTAATAGATTTATAAACATATAATAGTAGATTGGATCAAAATTTTACAAATTATATATTTTTTTCTTATTTATTTATTTATTCTTTTAAGAAAATTTTTATAAAAGCCTTGGTATTTCCAATAGCATGGGATTCTATTTGTGTATGCATGTATGTGTATATATGTGTATATATATATATATATATATATATTTATACATACATACACACACATATAAAAAAAACAACAATAATATGTATATATATATATATATATATATATATATGACCAAGTGATTTTTATTTTGGTTTGGCTCTTGAGTTTTTTGGTTTCTTTTTAATTAAAAAGAGGTCCTATCCCCTACTTTAATTTAATAGAAATTTTTAAAAA